AAAGGAAACAAGTGCAGCCAATGGCGGTTGAAGATAGTTGATATGCAGTGCTCAAAGGTGGTTGTCAACTGAAAGAGCAGACGACGTTTGTTGGATCCTCTGTGTAGAACTTGGGACCTCGTTCATTCTCTTTCAAGCTTTGGTCTCCCACATTTTCAAGGTCTAGTCCCTTCTCAAGAAGAGATTATGACCTAATTTATAGAATTCAGATGCAAATAAGGAGGGAATTTGGATCACTCTAAACAAACGACCCGGGAAGCTTCTCTTATTCAGACGTTGTTTTGTCGACATTTAAATATCTTAATGATATTAGAATTGAGTGATATTGGACTTGTTAGATTTGCCTTATCGAAAAACTCAATTTGACTCGACTATAAGCTCGTAAAATTTAAAAATTCATTTGTCATTACAATTATGCACTTAAAATTTTTAAAAGTGATTTAACATCATAATATCGGTTTGATTCGATTTGATTTGAATTAGACCAATTTTGATATAATTGAGTCAATCTCATCGACCCGATCAATTCGACTATAACTTTGAATAGTTTTTAATCGAAGTTAAATGTTTATGACTTAAAAATTATTCTGATATTAATGTCATGCCTCGAGATTCGGATCGGCTGATTAATGGAGTATCATACACTTCACTCAAAAAATTAAATAGATTTTGCCTTCGGAATAATGCCAAGCAACAATTTTTGTAAATATTGTTATAACGGTAAAATACTACCCATACACTTGTATAAATCAAACAATATTGCGGTAATCTCTCTCACAATAAAAAAAAATAGCTTACATAATCTGCTTCGCACAACTTCTATACATCCCTGTAGAAAAGTTTCTTCAGGAGCCACTATACATTTCCTTGTTCATATTATACTATAAGCCACATAGGCGGAAGAAGAAGAAGAAGAAGAAGAAAGCTCAAACCTTCCATGGCTTCTTCCTCTCTAGAAGCACACCAGACACATAACAGCGCAACAGAAAAGAAAAATCCATAGCTGATTCATCCAGCTTTCCACCATCAGCTCCTGCCTACACCTCTGATTCCTCCTACCCACTGTCGCTGACTGGTTCAAGCTCGTGTGGAGATCTTCTTGGTTCCTAAATACCCTCGGAAGCATCGCGAAAGCAAACTCCCCAAGCAAAACCCCAGCGTTGGAGTGCAGAACTCCGACATGATTCGTCAAATCGCTGCCGTAAAATTGGTGGTTCTGATACAGGGTAGCACCCTGCCTGACCTCTAGGGGTGGATGGAGATCACTTGCGACGGCCTGAGAAACCAGTTTCCGGTGATCTCGAGGTCGATCAGGGATGCTGCGGTCTTCACTGTCGTGTTGTTTGGAATCGAGACCGCGGCCATAGAGTGGTACGAGGGAAGATTCCGAGAGGGAGGATTTGCAGACAGGGCAATGGCGATGGTTGGTACCGAGATCGAGCCAGCGAAAAATACAGGGCCAGCAGTAGAGATGGCCGCAGAGGGTGACGACTGGATCGGCGGCGAACTCAAGGCAGATGTTGCAGTCAAAGCAAGCTGTGGAGGCGCAGGAAGAAAGTGCTTTAGAAGAGGGATCAAGATCCAGCGAGGGTTCCACGACGAGATCATTGAAGCATCCGTTCAAAGTTGTTTCAACATCCATATTTCTGTAAAAAAGAGGAACAGTTCCACGGTGAGAATTTAATAAATCAAGTGTTTCAACAAGCAATTGTCTTGCTAATCTGCTTCTAAATCTGAAACCATTTTGACTGTTCGGACATCTGTTAGCGGATTCAGAAACTTAAAAAAGAAAGAACAGAGGGGAATAAACAGAAGGGAAATCCAAACCTAATTTAAAGAACTAAGGGGTGTGAAATTTCATTCAGTGAAAAACTTGAAACCAAATCTGAGAGCAAGAATTAGGGTTTCTCTTGTTCCTCCCTTCCCAAAGTCCTAAACAACATAATCTCATTCTAACCCTAATCCGATCGAGAAAAAACGCACAGAAATCAATGAAAAACCTAAATATATTGTTAAATTTCAAATCGAGGAGCTCATCGGACGCATACCGATCACCGTCTCTTGCGAGCTGCTGAAAAGAGTATAGGGTTCCAAACTGCTGAATTCTTCAACGGCGGCAAATAGAAGACTGAGTGTTGAATATTGAGCGACGTTAACGAAGGAGCTTTGAAGCCTATTTAAAGGCGAGGCAAGTGGGGCTCGGCGCGGCTTTCCTCGTACCTGTTGCTGCCACGTGTGAAATTTCATCACGGCGTGCGAGATAAACTCGATTGGAGCCGTCCGATCATAGTTCCTTGACGGTGTTCCACACCGCTTGGTTAGCCATACGAGTGCTTTCCCCTGTTCGCATCATTATCCTTTTGCGGGGATAAATTTCTAAAAAAAAAATTTTGCCCCGGGCATGACTGAAAAATATTAAAAATCAAAATGTTGAATATGATTTATGAATAGTGAACAATTTTATTTTTTAATATTTCCTCATGAAATGTTCACTATATTTACACGAGCTAGTATAATATGTGATGTTACATTTTTGTTCCAATTTTATTGGATATATTAGAGTATATTTTTTTATTTGTATATATACGAGATGGGCTAGTATGACTTTGGCTTGGTAAGACCGGCTTAGTCGGTTGGAATTGATTACCTTCAAGTAGGTAGAACTGACTCAATCTGCTAGACTTTGTCGATTTAGTCCGACTATTGACCCTTGATCCCTGCACAATGAGCTCCTGCTGACATAACTAGAGTAGGTCATCAACCAGATAGTGGTTCATCGCAACTCAATAGATAGTTTTTTCCTTGATGAGAGTGCACCCGTGGGATGACTATGAAGCTCAATTACATTGTCAATTCTTGATCCTTGATGAGAAATCTTCAGAGCGTTCATGGGTTGTTTTGTGATGGGGAAGAACTCAATTATTTTATTGAGTTGGATTTGTGAGGAGGTAGGTTGATATTATTTCTTGACTTTCTGGTGGTAGCTTATTATAGAAGTCACGTCATCGTTGATAACCATGACAGTAGTTGGCAAAATGAGTCGTAGATGGTTGTTTCATGAGCATTGGTTGACCATAGAGGTTGTAATTGGGAGTTGCAGGAGTTATGGATCACGTAGGTCGTACAAGTCATAGTCGTAAGCTGCAATGACGTCCGTGGGTCACAGGGGCCAAAGTTAGGAGTTGTACGAACATTAGACCACGTAAGCCGTAGTGGTGAGTAGCAACAACGTCTGTAGACCGCGAGGGTCGGAGAGCTGTACGAGCTGTGAACCACGTAGGTTGTAGTGTCGGGTTGAAAAGATATTCGTAGGATGCTGAGACCATAGTCAGGAGGTGCACGAGAGTATACAATGTGCTTAGTTACATCGTTTTTGTGCTTTAGGTCTGATCGGTCATCCCAAGTCGATCACCCACTCTTTTTACTTCAACCGGCTATCACGACCTGGTTAAAAGATAACTTTCTTGCCTGTATACTTTCTTGAATGTTGCATGTTATCTTTGCATATGTAAGAAAAATCTTTTTGACTTTATGTCTATGTTTTATTTCATCACATGTAAAATATTTTTGTTTTGTATGTTTTGCATGTGATATGTTTGGATGTCTTTTTGTGCATCCATATTTTGCATGCCTCTTCAAGCATCCATACTTGTGGTGTCCATTTGAGCACCCACGCTTGTAAGTGTCTTTCTCACATACAACGTTGTAGCCACGTGGATGGACACTTGCACGCATTGGGAGGAGTTGACTCATAAGACATCTATCTCACTTTTATTGACACCATCTAGAGTGTCGTAGGTATTTCACATTGCATCAAGCATGAGTCATACTTCCTAGCCACTAAACTCCTATGAGGCACAATGTGTGTACACCTGAGTGTGTGACTCTCACTTGTAAAGATCACATCACTTAGTTTGTTTGAAACTTAACATTTATGCATGCTTGTCATTTTCTATTTTTTGAAATTTATAATGATTCAAAATGAAGATTTATTCAAATAAGAGGAATATGCGATGATATATAACTAGACAAGCTCGCGACTCCAAGTGCAATAAAAAGAGCCGAGAAAGCTTCTATATTAAATCCTCTATTATGATTAGTTTCTCTCAATAACTATTAAATGAATGAGATGATAACCCGATAATTATAGTTCTGTTTGGGATCACTTTATGTTTTCTATTTTTATTTTTATTTTTAATATGTTCTATTTCTGTTTTTTTTTTTTTTTTGTAATTAGAAAATGCATTTGGAACAGTTATGTTTATATTTTTTAAAACAAAAAATATAAAACATATTTGATTAAATATATATTTATTTAAGGAAAAAACTATCATTTTAATAAAGCAGTTGGGTCCACGTACGTTCCAGTATTAAACTTGACCGCTCATGGCATATACTACTTTTTTTCTTGCTCTACCAAACACGAAATATTACCAAGGGGCGTGTTTATATTTTTTAAAACAAAAAATATAAAACATAGTTGATTGAATATATATTTTTTTAAGGAAAAACTATCATTTTAATAAAACGGTTGGGTCCACGTATTTTCCAATATTACACTTGACCGCCCATGGCATATACTACTTTTTTCTTGCTCCACCAAACACGAAATACTACCAAGGGGCAGCCGAGCGATGGACGATAGTCATTGTTTTAACTATTTAAAAATACAGACAACACTATATTTTTTTTGTGTTCCTCTAAAAATAAAAAAATAGATATAAAATAAAAACCGATAAAAAAAATTCTATTTCTTGTTATTATCTATTTTTTTTATTTTGTAAGTATTAAAAAAAATGAAAAAATAAATATTAATCCCAAGAACCTCTAAGCAGTTTCCTTTGCTATGCTCGAAATTCACCTGACTCAAAAACATGAAAAAATAAATAGTGATTAAGGGTCTGCTTGAGACAGCTGCAACTTATTGAATAATCTGCTGATAAGCTGATTAAAAATAATCTGTTGATAAGCTATGTGCGATAGCAATTACAAATTTTTTTTATTTTGGAAAAGCCAAATCGCAGCGAGAAAACTTCCACCGCACCTAGACAAACCTAGACAGGTGCGGTGTGAAAACACTGATTTCAGCGTTTTGAAAACACATAAGCTGCCAAAACGCAATTTACCCAAACAGCTCATGTGCATTTTCAAAACGCCACCTCACTAAATAAGTTCCCCAAAAAGATCCTAAGAATAAGTCATATTCTTTATTAATATCTTTACGCAATTGAGGCCATATCAACGACAGCTGGAAAGCTGCGCTGAAATTGATGTGTTCCGTGGCCTTAATCACAAGTTGACACAGCATTTAGATAGCGCTATTTTTTTCTTCTTTTTTTTTTTGTCATTTTTTGTAATTGATGAAATTCGGAACCACATCTTTAATTACAAAATAATATTCAATTAATATTCTGTAAATTAAAAAGTATTGCAATGATTTCCGATATGATCAAAAATAATTCTTTTGCATACTTTTCTGGTAAAAATATTTAATATTAAGAAAAAAAAATTTAACAATCATTGATTCATCAGATTTATGATTAGTTAATTGGAATGAGGTGAATATGTCAAAATTATTCAAAAAAAAGCTTACTAAAAATGTATATATGTCCAAACCTAATACTTTTTTTTGTACAATATTAAAATATTTAATTATTTTTAAACTATTTTAATGAAAGCAGTGTGATGGTAATAGCAAAATTTTAATAGGATGAATATAGAATTTCATGGAAAGTATTTTTATATAAGTATTATAACTAAACTATTTATCAAATAAATAAACTACATTATCAATATTATTATTATTTTAGTGTAGAGAAAATAAACAATTTCTCTTTTTTTTTCATTTAGCTATGGAAAATAATACCCCTATTTTAGTTTTAAGAAGAAAAAAATAAATGTATTTAAAAAAAAATTGTAAAATTTTGGCTCTATAAATATGATGTTAAAAGGTGTATAAAGAATTTTCCCACTCATCTCTCTATAGTGGCTGCTCTATCTCCCTTTTTTCTTCTCTCGGCTCTAACTCTCGAGAATTGTTAGGTATGACTCATATACCAGATAAGGGACATATGCTGGAGTGGAGCGGAAGCATCTGTCCAATCGTGTGGGGGGGGGGTTAGTTTCGTTATGTGGGTTGGGGAAGCAGGGGCAAATGCCCCTGCGATACAGTACATGGGTAATTTTGTAATTATATATTGTGCGTCAGGGTTATATATGTTTTGTTTGTAACTTTTTTGTACTCTTTTTTCTGAAATTGAAAGAAAAACCGCCACTCTACTCCCAATGATGTAAGCATCTTTGCCGAACCTCGTTAAATCTCAGTATTTTCTTTTTGATTTGTGTGTATTCTTATTTTTCTTTGCCCTAAAATTCTCAACACGAATGACAACTTGAAATTCAACAATCATGCATTATTTTGAGTTCAAATATATAATCTTCAAATACCAATAGAATTTTTTTTTTTCCTTACCAAAATTCTAAATAAAAGTCTAAGGCTATAAGGTGGTGGAGATTTTGGTAAAATATATTTTATAATAATTAGTTAAAATATTTATTATTTAACTTATTTAAAAAAAAAAAGTGCTCTTGGAGTTTCGGTCAAAGTCAAGTAAAAAAAATTAATATTTTCTTACTTCTAGTAGTTTCCCGGAACCAAGTCATTGTCAACAATTTGCAATTATAAAAGCAAATATAGTAATTTTATTGATAATTAAATAATTAATTTTTTAGTCAATTTAAATGTTTATTAAAATATTTTAAAACCTTCCGGGACCCTTACAATGACGAATAAAGTATGCGGTTAATTTAGCAGCACGACGCCATTAGCCGGAGCGAGTTCATAGAACGAGTCAATAAGAACGTGACGCGGAAACAAAGAAAAGGCTTAAAGCAAGATGAATAGCTGTGATTTATTGAATGATAAAAACTAATAAAAATTTAAATTGGAATTTATATATGATATTAATTTACGTGTAGATATATATTACCTAATATTTGATATTTAAGCATGCATATTCGTATTTGTCGAAAAAGTTACGATAGTGGAGTGATTATTTAGCATCTTAGCGTTATATGAAAATCTAACACACACTCAGGTAATTAAAGTTACTAGTAGAGACGCTAAGTGGCACAT